TGGTAGACTTACATACTCCATCCCACCTAAAGTAGGGTAGTGATAAAAAATCATTGACAGGTCTGACAGAAAGTAACCAATTGAGACCTGCATCATTAAATAACAAAATAAATCAATTTATATTAGAAATAAAAACCTTAAATTATATCCGTAGAGTTGATTTTCTATCAAATGGAAACGTGAAATGTTAACTTGGAATAAAAACGCTATTCGTCCAATTGAGTCTCATTAAAATAAAGCATGGAAGGCTGTCATTCGCTTGGTGGGACAAAATTTCACATGATTCTAAGCAACTGTCGAGTTTAGATATCTTATATGTAAATTGTGAAGACAGAATCTTCCTGGCCAGTCTCAGAGAATTCTCACTCGAGCATAAACCAAGCAAAGCTGGTTTAGTAGTAAGCAATTCATCAACTAGATGTTTCTAACCCGTACTGAAGTATTCAGTTTTCATTAGGTCCACCAAGATGAGAATAAAGTAAAAGNAGAGACAATTAAGGAAATGCTCGCCTCATCATTGATCACACCCACCCACATAATTAACACAATTCAACAATTTCATAGAAATTTACACAAGTTAGCTGCAAATATAGCTGGCATACCCCTAATACAGTGTCTGATAAAGGTGAGGATCTGTGGACTATCAACCCATCTTTACCCTCAGCAAAAAGATCCGAAACAAGCAAGAGATACAAAGAGCCAGCAGCCACAACAATGGCATGGAAAGTGGAGAATCCCCTGCAACAACAATTAGCCAAATAACTCTTCATGGTCAACCAAAGAACATATCCATGGCTTACAGGTAGAAATTGACATCGTACGAAAAGAAGCAGTACCTGTTGTTCCATTCGAGCTTTGCTTTATTGTTAAGCTTGTTATATCCCTTGAAGAGCAAAGAGCTAATTACTCCTGTTAGGTCATAAACCTTGAACAAGAAAACAGGTTATCTTCAAGAAAATGGCCAAACATATCCAACGACCTTCTTGCATTAGTTTTGCATTTAGTATCAAGAGAATGATCAAATACAACACACGGTCAATTCTTAAAGGAATAAAGGAAAGTAGGCTTGGAACATTCAGAATTTATATCCAATACTCAAGTGTCATTTGAACATCCCTTCAACTACAACATAATCATCACGAGTGTTCACCGCACAATACTCAAAACCCAGCAACGAAATTCATGTGGCAGCACAATACTCAAAAACCCAAAAATGAAATTCATGTCGAACATCAAAGTTAGAGAGAGAGAGAGAGGGAAGGAGAACACTCACAACTTTGCACATCAAAATCCCAGCAAAAACAGCCGAGAGCCAACGCAATTCCTTGGTCGGGGTGGCATGGCCTGCAACATTCATCAGCCCAATTACTGATCCTCCTGCAACCCACATCGTTTCTCCTTCCCCTGGCTGCAAACAAACATTGAATTCAGAAGAACACGAAAGAAAAAGCAACAAATTCGGAGTTCAGAAAAGGGGAAAAGAATAGTAAATGGAAGCAGCAATCCCACTCCCCGTGCTTGTATAATTCGTAAATACTCTACATATGAAGAAAACCCATTTTCAGTCACCTGAAGAGGAATAATGAATCGCGCTGTCGACAATGAAATGACTTGAGTCGAGAGTTTGAAAGAGCTAGAAACTGCTAAAATTGGCACGAGATAATATTCATGCCAAAAATGTCTCGCTATACTATTTTAAATAAATATTTATATTATATTATAAATTAATATCATATATTTTTTTTAGTGTTTTTATATAATGATATATAATTTTTAAAATATGACACTTTAATTTAAAAATATAAGTATTTAGTAAAGAAATATGATTAATCAATGGTTGGATTAAAAGTTTTATTTTATTATGACATTTGACTAAAACTTTTGATGAATAATTTAGCTTATCATCAATTTGGAACCTAATTTTTTCTTTGATTGGATTTGGAAAAATCACGTAATCAATTTGGAACCTAATTTTTTATTTGATTGGGTTTGAAAAATCACGTAGTCACAGAAGAGATGCAAGAATAAGAGGCTATGTATTCTCCAGAACAAGCACATAACGTTACATTGGTTATGACTTATGTGCAATAAATATTTCCTAAAAACATAAATTTTATTAATGTTATGAGTTGACAATTATAAACATGTGAGTAGGGACCGAACTTAAATGACAAATCTAGGTTGTTTATATTGATTTTTTTAAATAAAAAATAAAGTATATAAAAAAATTAAAATATATATATATATATATATATCTTTCACATAAACTCTAATAACTTTTTAATACTACCTACATATTTATCATATATATATATAAATTAAGGGAATGGCTACGGTCCGTAACGGTATGATTCCTTTCCTTTATTTTAGATGGTTGGATTATCCACACTTATCACTAGCCTTTAGATATAAAGAAGTTAGTATTTTAACTACACACGTGGTGTAATCTAAGTGGTTGAAAAAATAATGGAACCAGTATTTTCCATAAATTAAACCTTGTTGCTATTTTGTATTTCGATGAAAAAAATATGTAATAAAATTAATTATGAATCGATAATTCGCACATAAAAGAATAACAAAAAATATTTACAAAACATTAATTAAATTACATGGAGTTGCAAATATTCATGATTAAAAAAATATATGTTTTTCAAATCAATATAAAAAAAATCAAACAATATATCTTTTACTATTCTCATAAATAAATATACAAATAAAATATAATTCCATAGTTATTTTGCATATGAAAAAAATATTGTTGATATATCATATTATCTGAGTTTATCACCAACCTCTTGTAGAATATTTTCTTTATATAGATAAATTATTTAAAGTTATTTTTATATATATTTATAAATACCACTAGTTTTCAAACAAATGTCTATATGTTAGCATTTTCTTTAGATAAGTGTAAAACTAAGACCTTTTAAGACTTTAAAAAGTACTCACAGATATTCATTTGAAATTTGAAAAGTCTTAAAAATCTTGAAATATTTAACCTATTTAATACTATGATTTATTAATCCTTTTAACTTTTAAGATTTAGTGAGATTTCAAACACAAATTACATATGTCAAATTTCACCACCAACCATCTAAGGGGGCGATTGATAAACAATCAAAACCAGTATAATCGATAAAATTTGATCGTGGGTTAAAGTGAGTTATTGTGAATAAAGTTGGTTGAGTGGGATTAGAAATATTGTATTTAAATAATATTTAAAATACAAATTAAAATTGATGTGATGTAAAAGTAGTGAGGGATGGTGAAGTGTTAGGTAGTTTAAAATATGTGAGTGGATGAATAGTTAATTAAAGTTGATGTGATTTATGAGAGAGATGATTGATATTATTTAATTATATTGATAATTGAACATAGTGAGATTGGGTTAGATTTTGAATTAAAGTGAGTAACAATAATTGATCTGATCAAAACTAATTTTGATCACTTTTAACTCTTTACCAATCATCCTCTAAGGATATCACTAAAATCCAAAATTAATAAGGCCTCTATTTTGAAAAATATGACTAAATATAAGTAAAAAGGTTACACAAAATAAAATCAGTACAAACAAAAAAATATTAATAAAAAAGTAATAGTTTTTAACAATGTAATGTATTCGAGTTTCCTTTAATTGTTTACCGCTACTTGATTATGATTATTGATTTATTCCATTTCAACGCTACTGAATTAAAAAGATATTTTTTGCCTAAAGTTAATTCCAACAAATCATATTATGTGAATAAAAATGTATATTTATACAATTAGATCATACTTATATTTCCATTATTTTTTAAT